TATTGAGATACTATATCCTGCTAATTGAATATGTAATAAATGATAATACTGTTTCATTATATTTGTTCAAGTGTTGTTCCGCATGTTTCATTTCCTAACCTATACCTATTATAATAATAATATAAGTTTATTCAGATATCCAATACAATACAATACGATTAACCTAACTATAATATTATTGTAGTTTTAAGACTAAAAGTGATTGATTTACCTAAATATAATATTATTGCAGTTTTAAGACAAAAATTCACTTTAATAGTACAGATCCTATAAATTCTATAGTTTTATTGATGTGTACCACACGTTACTTGTATATATTATTCAGATATGAGCCATATTTGGTTTTGACATAAAATAAGCATTATTTTCAATTCAAAATGCCAAAGTGGGGATTTACTTACAGTCACTATCCATTCGCTCAACTTGATATTCGGTCTACAACTAACAAACAGTGACACAAACAAAAAACTTTGAGCACAGAGATAATTCCAAATGTGGGGTGGTGAATCATTGGGTATTCATTCTGAATTATTAAAAGGATTTGAAAGTTAGATAAACATGTCTTGTTGTTGCGAGGAGAGAAAATGGGTATACCTACCCACTTACCTAGAAAGAACTTGGATATGGATATGGTGGTGTGTATTTCCAGTAATAGAAAAATATATGCAAATCCAAAATGAATTGTAAGTTGTGCTAACAACTCGAAGACTCAACTACTTATTTAAAATGAATACTTTTTTCATCAGATGCAGTATGAAAAAGTAACAAATTCTAATAGATAAATCAAGCTGAAAGAAAATGAGACGGTTTTTAATATTTTAACCAAAAAAACGGCCATATGATATACTAAAATCGAAAAGACATTACGATACCATCGTGATTTTGTATATGCTTTTCTCTAACAAAAAACCATCAAGCCACTTTGGCCGTTATTCGTCGATGACGTATAGAGTGAAGTAATTGGCGATATATTTTTGAATGCATTCTGATTGATCAGATGTCTGTGGACTGACAACAATTCATTAGATCTCCATAAGATGAAGATATTTTACAAGCAATTATATGAATATGTTGATCTTGCATTTTTCTACTATTCAAACTCAATAATACCAATCTGCAGTACCCATAGTAATTTTAGTGACTCATTCTGTAACCTTTAGCAGAAAGGTGACTTGGTGTATCTCTGTAAATATTATATCAATCAATCAAAATATGCTTTAATATTGAAGAATAACATCTTGTTGACAAAGCGTGTATATATAGATGTGAATGTAATTAAATTAATAACAAAACAAAAAACAATAGAAGGTATATGATATCAAAGTATATAGTTTTGGTCTAATTATCATTATATACTATCCGAATAATATTCTTCCAAACTATAATATGTTCTATCGGAAAGAACTTTGTTTACTGCTTTTCTGAAGCTGACGTTGGACGGTATATCTTTAATGGTACCTGGAAATTGATTGTAGATTTTGCAGCCGTTACATATAATTGAATCCTTAACGAGGGTGGAAGATGATAACGGTAGTTTAAGATGGGTACCTACTTTGACGGTTGGGGTATCTATTCCCTGTAATGAATTTTTTTTGTGTTTATTCAAATATAAATATAGACACTAACGTGAGTATGTTGTGTTGCTTGAAGTGAAATCTGCACGAATCGTGAAATTTCAGTTTACAGAAGTATCTCTGTAAAACAAAAACACTTTTAAAAACATTACCACTGTACACTCCCCAGAATGGGATACCGCATATGTGACTCTATCAAGGAGTAGGTAGTATACTGTCTTTGCGGTTGAGTATCCTTACTTTTGCAGCAATTTTCACAGCATAATGACCAGAGAACAATGTTTTATTAAAGTTTTCGACATGTTCATTGAATTTAAGACCGTTGTCAATGTATAGTCCTAGAAATTTGGAAAAACACTGTTTTCAATAATCTGGTGGTTTAAAAAAATATAATAATAATAATAGTAACCTTTATTAATCATATATGTATGAAATCTAACAACAAAGTAATATTAGGGTTGAATGGAGCCCGATCAGTCAAGACTGGTCTTCCTGGGAAACCTGGGATACAAAATAAAAAAACACTAAGATTAAAGAATAAAGATTTGAAAAGTCACAAAGATAAGTAGTAATATAATTATCATTGAAAATATAGAGGGGATTTAAGAAAGACATATTAACTAAAATTTATGGTGATTACATGAACTTATATAATCAAACATTTCTACTCAAAAAGTTTTTTCTTTAGGTGTTTACGAAACCTGACCACTGACATTGTTTTTAGATCTTCAGGGAGTAGGTTGTATGCTTTAATCAGATTGTAAGAGAAGTATTTTTCGAATTATTTAGTGCGGTGATGGGGAATTGTGATTATTTTTTTATGCCTTAAATTCAAATTGTGAACGTCTGTCCTGTATCTGATTTTTTCAGTGAGATAAGAAGGAGTTTTATTTATTATCACTTTATGTAATAGAGATAGGCCATGAAGTTTCCACCGATTACTCATAGACAGCCATTCCGTAGTAACTAAGGTATGAGAGATTCTTTCGAATATCCGGATGCCAAAAATAAGTCTTAGGCAGGAATTTTGCAGTTTTTGGATTCTAGATGTGTCTCTTGCAGTCAGACAGGGCCCATAAACGAAATCGCAATAGCTCGTAATATTTACTCATAATATGTCCTATGACCATATAAAATTTAAGTTTTGCGTAAGATTTCTGAAGTATAAAAGATACATGATCGGAGAATCATTTTCACAGTTAGTTGATTACCTTCTAATTGAATGTTCATATCAGGTGGATCAATAGATCCAAATAATATAACAGACGATTTCGATGGGTTTATAATCAAGTCATGTTTCTTAGAAGTCTCTACAATTTGAAGCAAGTCTTCATTGATTTGAGTCTGTTGAGACTCTGCTAATGTGTTTGAATCGAAAAAGTAGTGGATTTGAGTGTCATCTGCGTACATATGGATTCGTGAGTATTTTAAAGAATTGGAAAAATAACATGTGTAGGTAGTAAAGATCAGAGGACCGAAAATCGAACCTTGTGCTACTCCACGTGATATAGATCCATCGTCAGATGAAACTCCATGTAATACCACTCTCTGAGATTTTCCTGTGAAACCCATTCATGAAACTCCAGTTCAATATCCCGTTACATTCAATCTAAATTTACTCTTGAAGAAAGATGAATAACCTGTGGCATACTTACTTAGAAAATGAAATTTTATTAAAAAAATATTCTAACCATCAATTTCATCTACGTCACAACCAANCGATCAGAAAATATATTTGCCAGATCCACACAAACTCCACGTTCCCCACAAAAACCACTGAGTCCCATAACTGTACAAAAAGAATCCAATAGACTTTTCGAAGAAGCTTGTAACGTTGAACCTTTCACTGAAAACAAAGACAGACTTTCAGACAATCAAGACAGTGAAAACAAAATTTTTGACGAGAAAACACAGTTGACTCAGGAAAATTTTGAAATTAACGACAGTTACTTCGAAACTTTTCAACAAGATTACTTAAGAAATACCGGGGAGGAAACTGAAAACAACGAAAAATTCATTCAACAGTTACTCTCTCAATCGATAAATAAATCTTTAGACGAATCCCCAGCACGAATTCACACTCAACAACCAATCTTAAAAAACATGGCCAATATTACACTGACAGACGCCTTCACAGCAGCAAAATCGGCAGCGACCCCAACCTTTATTTCACCACAAACTTTCAATCCAAACAAGGGGAATGCAAACTCATTCATTAATTGCTATGAACGTACCTCAATAGCAAACGGTTGGGATGATAAACTGAAAATATACTCTGAAAACACACAAGTGACATCGTGAGTGGACATTAGGATTCTGTAAAATGCTCAGACGACTCAGCAACCAGAATGCTTTTGAAAAATATATTGTTGCGGAATTGATTGAGTTTGGCACATATCCCCAAAATGTCGGATCAAATCGTCAAAGGTTTTCACCTCACCTGCTCTTACTCTGCAGCTTCCGGGTAAAGGGGATGCTTCCGCCCAATCAGCAGCGAATAGTGGACTGTAAGGGGTCGATACATCGGAACCACAAGGTTCCGATGTATCGCATTTATATATACAATTGACATTCTGAACCTTGATGATTCTAATCAGCAAGTAAGTAACCGACAGGAATTGAGATTTTTTGCGGCATCAACAATAATTCAATTACATCTTTCCAAAAGGCATATCCCTGATTCATTGTCTACTCAAAACTCATTCTGGAAAGTATGTGACGAGAAGTTGTAGTTGTAGAAATATTGTAAAATTCAGAGGCGGCAGAACCCAACCTGACACAATCTCATTCGAAATCGTGGAAGTAACTTACGATACAAGAAAAAAATCGTATGTTTGTAGATGACTCTGATATTGCTATTGTCTTGTTTTTGAACTCGGAAGAAATTGATGAGTTTTACTTGTTCGGTTGTACGACTTTTTTTCCAAAAATCTATTCATTCAATTTTAGAAAAAATCATTTTTGTTTTTTTCAATTGGGGGACTGTTGAATTTCTCATTTCGTATAATTAAATATTTACTTATACCAATAAAATATGTAATAACTAATAATACTGATTCATTATATTTGTTGTTCCGGCATTGATAGCGATGAATGTATCGCCATTCCATAAAATATTTCAAGAAAACGTGTAGGAAATTGAACAGTTTTTCGAGCTGTATCGTTGATGAGGTAACATGTCATCAATTCGCTACAATTAAAGTAAATATTGGTACCTACCTACCTGTAAATATTGTATTCTACCTGAGCTCAATTTTGATTGGTGTTAATGACAATTTGGATTCGATTGGGTTTAATATAAATATGTGACCAGTCAGTTTAGATTGACTGTTGTATTATTCAAGGAATTCTTACAAGTATACCAATTTTTCAAATTGGATTTCTGTGAATCATTGTGTGTTAGAGAACATTTTCCTAGAATTCGACATGGCTAGTGATGCATTCGGGAGAACAATGGAGAAATCCATCGAAACTACTTCGAAAATGTTTCTCGAATTGAATTTTGTGAAAGCTGAACCAGAAGAAGCTAAAACGTTCGATGAATCTGGAAATTTCGATATTAACTCAGTGAAAATTGAACCACAAGGAGCTGAAATGTTTCATACTGGCGTCATTACCAACCTGAATTCGATAAATAAAATCGGTTATAATGAAAGCATTGGACAACACAGACAAATGAAGATGGAAGATGAAATCGACATTGTTCACGAAGATCTCAAGTGTGAAGTTGTGGATGAAAAAAACTTCTCATACTATATGCGAGCTGAGGACTTTACCCAAGATGTGAAGCCACTTCTTTCGGATCCTGCTGAACCAGGAGCAGATACATTTGGTACTGACTTTTTCACTTACCCAATCTCAATGGATGGCAACGATGATAAAATCATTGGTGATCAAGGAGAAATGAAGATGGAAAATGGAATCGACATTGTTCATATGGGGAAGAAACCATTCCAGTGTGATTTCATTCCAGTGAATATCCAGTGTGATATTACTTTGAAGAACCACGAAAGGATTCATGATGAAGAGAGACCATTTCAGTGTAAAACTTGCATGAAATCTTTCTCTAGAAGTGGTGGTTTGAAACTACATGAAAGAATTCATACTGGTGAAAGACCTTTCCAGTGTTCATTCTGTTCAAAATTTTTCACTCGTCCTGATACCCTGAAAGTTCACGAAAGAACTCATACCGGAGAGAAACCGTTCCAGTGTAGATTTTGTTCGAAATATTTTACCCGAAGTGGTGATCGAATAGCTCACGAAAGAAGTCATACTGGAGAGAAACCGTTTCGGTGTAAGATGTGTCCAAGATTATTTGCTCAAAGTTGTGATCTGAAAGTTCATGAAAGGAGTCATACTGGGGATAGACCTTTTCAGTGCAAAATCTGTCCAAAATCATTCATTCAAAGTTGTACTTTGAAAGTACATGTAAGAACTCATACCGGAGAAAGACCGTTTCAGTGTAAGGTTTGCCCAAAATCTTACAGTCAGAGTAGTTCTTTGAAAATTCATGAGAGGAAACATACTGGAGATAAACCATTCAAATGTAGGAGCTGTTCAAAATCTTTCACGCAAAGTGCTGATTTGAAAGCTCATGAAAGACTTCATACCGGAGAAAAGCCGTTTCAATGTACAGTCTGCCCGAAAACTTTCGCACACATTAGTTCTTTGAAAGCTCATGAAAGGAGTCATACTGGGGAAAAAACCTTTCAGTGTAGAGTCTGTTCAAAATACTTCATTCATGGTAGTAGTTTGAAAGTTCACGAGAGAAGTCATTCTAGGGAATGCACATTTTAATTCAACATGTATAAATCTTTCGTTCAAATTGCTACTTAATCTCTCACCAAGGAGCTATGCTGGAGATGAACAATTCGACTCACATCCTTTCTGGAGGTAATTAATTCACTTCATGTATTGAGATACTATATCCTGCTAATTGAATATGTAATAAATGATAATACCGTTTCATTATATTTGTTCAAGTGTTGTTCCGCATGTTTCATTTCTTTACCTATGCCTATTGCCTGAAACTTCATTCGCGTGGATTTTTCTTTTTTGAATCGAAATAAAATAAGCAATATTTTCAATTCAAAATACCAAACTGGGGATTTACTTAGAGTCACTATCCATTCGCTCAACTTGATATTCGGTCTACAACTAACAAAGAGTGACACAAACAAAAAACTTTGAGCACAGGGATAATTCCAAATGTGGGGTGGTGAATCATTGGGTATTCATTCTGACTTATTAAAAGGATTTTAAAGTTAGATAAACATGTCTTGTAGTTGCGAGGAGAGAAAATGGGTATACCTACCCACTTACCCAGAAAGAAGTTGGATATGGTGGTGTGTGTATTTCCAGTAATAGAAAAATATATGCAAATCCAAAATGAATTGTAAGTTGTGCTAACAACTCGAAGACTCAACTACTTATTTAAAATGAATACTTTTTTCATCAGATGAAGTATGAAAAAGTAACAAATTCTAATAGATAAATCAAGCTGAAAGAAAATGATACGGTTTTCAATATTTTAACCAAAAAAACGGCCATATGATATACTACCACTCTCTGAGATCTTCCTGTGATATGAGTTTCTGAAGAACTTAAGTGCTTGATTTTCTAAACCTATGAAGTGAAGTACCGAGAGCAGTATATCGTGATTAAGCGTGTCAAATGCTTTACTATAATCTAATAATACTGAAACACCGATCTTTTGTTTGTCTAATTCCCTAAAGAAATCGTCCGTTATATTTAGGAGTGCTGCATCAGCAACTGCACATTTGAAGGACACTATCTTAGTTTTCAGTATGTTGAAGGATAGAAAGTTCGAGTGGGAATGAGGGAAATGGGCCTAAAATTCATGGGAGAGCTCACTTCACCACCTTTATAGATCGGTATAACAATTGATGTTTTGAGAAAAGGTGGAAATATGCCTTCTTTGGAGGATTCATTCATCAGAGATACTAGTTGGCTCAGGACATTCAAAAATCCTAACAGAACTGTCATTATTGAGATGATCTTTCCATCGTTTATATAAACGTGTAGATTTTTTGCCACATACGGTTTGATATCATTTGATGTATAGCTGTTCTTTTCATATTTTAAATATAAAACGTCAATTTTCTTAAGAGGTGTAAGGTGACTGATGCTTCGCTGTCCAATTGACGTGTAATTAGCAAATAATTACTAATAACTTCTTCAATAGATATGTATTTACAAAGTTTTGACAGCTATTTATTTCAATATCTGACCAACAACCTCACAAAAATTGTTTTGTATATTCTGTTTCTTCTAAACACTTTATACTGGGCGCTAATGACTGTGATGATGTGATACGGCATTACCCCCTCCTCTGATTGAGACTATGCATGTTTCGAATGAGGAATTTCACTTTTCTTTCAAAGCGGGTGGTGTAGGACTCTTCCGTAGGAACTTTGTCCTTTTCCTTCTCATTTCCAATAGTAGGATTTTGACAGCCAATTTTGTTCTCATCAAATACTTGTGATGAGATAGACATATACCATCGCGAACTTTTTTGTAGACCTTTTTAAGATGTACAAGGTGTATATTATTTTGATTCAGCCAGGGTTTGCAATGTAAGCGTAAAAAATGTGTTTCTTTTCGACATTACATTAGAAACTTCAGCAGAAAAACTGAGAATCATCGGCATTTTTCCCTTCAAAATCATCAAATGCTGAAAATACAGTACTAATGATAGAGAACGAATTATGAGTCGATAAGACACTTCGGTATCATGCTTGAAAGGCGTGAATGCGTAATATATTCTGATCATAAAACTTTGACGTTTACATTTGATGAAAAACGAAAAACTACTTCTCCCATGCTTCATTACTCAGTTTTCAACAGACTTTGGGCATATTTCGGAATCCAAAAATCTTTTTGCTGACGCCTAATAAGAAATTTCGGAAATGACTACAAAATTTAATGAACTTCAGTAAATGGAAAGAAGAACAGGAACAAGATAATGAACTTAAGAAACTTTTGCCAGGAATAACATTTCTTGAACTAAAAATGCAAGCAAATGCCCGAAAGTGATGGTGAGATCTAATGTGATGTTCCTACTTATCATATTAAACAATATGTATCTAAATTTCAAGAGAAGATATATTCAAAAAATTGCACAACCTATTTCATTCTAGTAGAAAACCAACTATGGAACTCAGAAAAAGAATATACCGGGTGTCCCACATTTTATGTGACAGGCAATATCTGGTTTGTTGAAGGAGATACACAAAAATGTTTCATACAAAAGTTTTAGGAGTTCATGAGAGCTATATTTTGATATAATTTTCAAATATACAGGGTGTTTGATGTAGGTGCTACAGACCGAAATTCCATTTTTTAAAATAGAACGCCCTGTATATCATTACATATTCAGATGCTACGTTAAATTCTGATATCATTTCATGTTTGGTTTTTGAAATTCGGTTACGGCGTTGTTGAGTTATTGCACTTTTCCTTAAATATAAAGTTTCAAAAAAACTTATTTACTCGTACACGAATCCAGTCTATATCTTTTATTAAATTGAACTAGACTACTACTGAATACAAACCATT